CTCCCTTATGAAATCACATTTTGTGTTCACGTAAAAATCTTTTCATACACTCTGTCCAATTCTCACCGCCATTCTTCCCTGTGCCGCCATAAATCTCCCGCGTGTCTTCAGTTACTGAAATTAATAATGCCAAGATCCATTTATGGGCATCCGTCCACGATATATCATATTTATTAGGAAGAGAAGAAAGAAAGGGAAAAATCACTCTCACAATCTCTCTACGCCCGGAGAATCTCCCGCACGGATATGGGGATTGAGCTAAGAAGCCATGATGAGAAATTGACTCGATTTCTCTGTCTCCTCGGACGACAAGAGAATCACTCTTCCCACAAATAAACTGCGGCTTAACCGTGATTTTGGGAACTGATTTAATCCAGAACAAAACGGCTGCCAAAGAAGCAACACGAGCCCAAAAACGCCTGAAAATCGGGAGTGTCTTTCGCCTCAATTGCGCCATTGTTTATGAGCTGAGGGAATTTTTCTCTGCACAATCATGAAAATTGAGACATTAAAATTATGCTCGGGATTATGCGTAGATAAATCTCGAGGCGTCATCATCATCAGCGAGAAAATTCCAGCTCAAGCCGCGCTGTATGGCGAGTTAATGCACACGTCCACTGCTAATTTGCCTGAAATTTATTACAAATATCATATGGATATGTGAGCTATTATCAAGATTTATATATGGAGAGTCTGTGGCACCGTGACGGATGCCTCTGAAATCCATAAATTGTCTCACACAATTCGCCTCAATGATCACAAATGCTGCCATATCGCGCTTGATGGCATAAATACCAGCAGTTTTACACATTCCCGGCCGGTCATTTCAATCACTTGATGAATTTTCAAGATTTATCTCCGGCCGCCCTCAGTGTGACGGAAAAGTCACAAAAGAGGCGCATGGAAGAGTGCTTTGAATAAATATTTAATGCACAGCGTTCCTTGTCCTCTTCACACCGTCGCCCAAACAATACAAATGGTGTGGAAAATGTGTGTAAAGTAGCTTTAAAAATAGACAAGACACGATGGGGAACCTTTCATCTTTGCCATTTGTGCCCCGGCCAAGGAATGTCTCAGCAACTGACCCGTGCCGAGCGTCTTGTGATCACGTACAGCGATCATTTGTCACATTCTAGTAGTTTTCACTCATGTCCGGAGGAGTTACGCTAAATATTGACCACGTCTTTCCGGCTCTGTCTCTCTCCGGGGTGAAAAATTGTTGAAAACTTGGAAAAAGTGCCCCTCGAACACAAAATGCTGCTGACATTTAGGAAAATATGACTGGAGAGTTGTGAAAACAAGAGTAAATACCAGTGAGAAGTAATCGTATTATTGAGCTCCTCACAAATTCTCCTCAAATTTTCAGCCTCTGTCCAAGTGTACACAATAAATAACAAGATTAAATTCACCCCCTCAGACCACCCTCGAGGCACATCTCGAGCGTCCAAATAAATACCATCTGTGTGGAGTGAAAGCCCAAGATATGTTCGCATGTACATTACTATACGGAATTTCTCAAAGTGGAGAGCCTCTTTGATCCCCATGCAAACTGAGAAATTACTATTAACAATATCGAGACACAATTTAGGTACAATGTTAGATAAGTGAGGCAATGGCTGAGGGTCTGTGTTGTCAATAAATAATAATGAAAAAGAATGTCAAGAAATATCTTCAAGTTTACAGGGAATAAAGAAGTTAAGACGATGAAATCTTTCATTTTAACATTTGTATTTATTTGTTTCTAGGGAAATGTAAAGCAAGAAACATTCATTTTTAATTGATCTTTACATTTCACTTCCGGAATTGTGATTTTGCGGGGTATAAATTGAAGATTTTATTGATCACACGTCGGAATTAAACGTGAAACTCCACTCGTGCTCAGCTGGAATCGCGGGAGCGTCACTGAAACGATAAATGTACTTTTGGGCGTCACCCTCCCGAAATTAGGAATTTCGTTCACCTCCACTCTCGCTCAATAACCATCACCCTCAAGGCATTAAAATCATACCCTCCGAAATTCACTGCACGACGCGTACGGCCGCACAGGAGCATTAATAGGAATTGTAATTGAATTCCGCATTACAGAGGGAATATCCTTTCTGTCGAAAAATTATTTTATTGCAGCTGAATGCTGCTGAATTTCAAATGTTGTCAAATTGGCGACATGTTCCGCTCGGCGACATTGTTTGAGAAGGAGAGTGTTTGAGTTTGGCAGGCAAAAAAAAATCGCAGAACGCACGAGACACAAGGATGAATGGGTGCCGGAAATCCGAGATTAAACTGGCATAATGACTCTATTTTGAATGGCGGGGTTGGAATTTAACTGTCGAGACGTGGTGGGACTCCGTTTTAATTTCCTTATCGATACGAGAAATCAGCCAGAGCGGTGGAAACTCTCGCTTTCAACTCCCGGAATCGGGCTTCCATCGTGCGCCCTGAGGGTGTTTGATGTTTGTTTGCCAGCCGTATGTTGTGTCTCTTCCAGTTGAGTGACAGAGGCATGTAAAGGAGCAAATCACGCAAGATTTGCTCAAAGACAACAAGGTATGCTATATACACTTAGTTTTGTCACATCAAACCTTGGATATATTTCCAGAGAATTTGAATATATTCATACCCAATTCGCACAACTATCGCGCTCGGCATTCATCTTAATCTCTCTCTCTCTTTCTGGGCGCAGAGACAAAAGGTCCATGCCATCAGGATTCCAGGTAGAGCTCTCAAACGCCGCAATAACAAAAGTGTAAAGAGCTCATTTGCATTTTATTTGCGTGCCACGAGAAGACTTGAAATGATTTGGAGAGTCGGAAATTCAGTTTGAAGATTTTGTCCTTTTGCCGGCTGACGCAAAGAGGGGATGCTAATGACATGGAGTGTTCCTTAAGCCCTTCTCCGCGACAATAAAACCTCTCCTTTTTACATCGCAGCCAAAACAGAGGAAACACACGACAAAATATTATTACGCAATTGCACACGTTTTGTTCCCCTGAATCTCCTTTCAATGAATTTCAAAAGAGGGCTTTTCTGTGAATGTCCTGGAAGAAGGGCGATAGAGAAATTTCGTCCCTCACCCTATGCATAGCCTTTCACTCAAATGAATAAATATATATGGCATATTTTTTCCACATTTCCACAAGGGAAGAGAAATGTCCCGAACTCTTCAACCCCAGAAAGTACAAGTGTAGTTCGAAGGGTATATCTGAGAATGTTCCGAGACTCAGTGTGTGTGTGTGTATGGCAATTATGGTGGAAAAAATTCGACATTGTTTTCCGTGTTTGCTCACCAAAATACCAAAGTTTTTCCTAAAACGCCCAGAACAATACTGGCGAGCATAAGAGACACGTTTCTGAGAAAGTAGCCTGTAATTCTGGATGGAAATGTTTGCCGCGTGCCGGATAAATAATTACTTTCCATTTTTTTTTCTCGGGTCTTTTTGTCTCGCCGGACTTGCTTGAATAACACAGTGAGTTGAGCGAAATTGAGCCTGAAAGAGTCTGCCTTGTGAAAATATTCAAATGAGGAGACTGTGGAGACTTTAAGAGACTCTCGTTAAGTTTGGTGTTAATTTTAGAAATGGAGCAAATATTGTGGGTCTCTCGCAGCTTCCGGATATCGTAAAGGCGAGTGAGAAGTGGTCAAAAAGTGTTGCCAAGATGGATTTGAGGATGTAGTAAAAATACAAGAGAGAATGGAAACTCTATCAAAACAATCCAACGCTTAATCCACTTTAACGAGTTCCACCATTGAGAGTCAAAGGGGTTCTGGAAGCGAATCCGACATGCAAATAAGGAAATTCCTGGGGGACACAAAAGCCATTAGCCTAGCCAGGAGTTTTTAACGAATTTGTATATGTTCCGTCCCAAATTTATAACCTTTTTAATTAAACTATTAAACAAAGTTTCCCGGGGAAAGAGTGTGAATGGCAAGTCTGGAGTGTCGGACAAAGTTTTTCCAACTTTCCGGCCCCGGCCAGAGAGATTAGGAGAAATATGTGTACAAGAACGTGAAGTATTCTTAAAAGCATGGTCCAATTTGTTCTTATCTGGGGTTGAACTAATTGAGTTTTTGCTCAGCTCTCAGGTGATTTAACTGATTTGTTTAGAGCGAATGCTCAATCTGGGCGTAATTAAATTTTACCGCCTGCAATTGATGTCAAGCCTCGTCGTAGTACAAATCTTTTGGCGATAGCATGAGTGATTGCCGGTGATTAAGGGTATTGTCCCAGTGATTTCGCATGAGAGGTCTTTACGACTGCGGACTCTTATCTGTTAATAAATCGACATGGCAGAAACAGCGAGAGGGCCGTAAAGGTATAAAAATGGAATGATGGAATGGCAACAAAAGGTGTGCGTTGGCAATCAATTCGTTTTGGGACTCGTGCTCTGCGGATAAAGAGAGCACTGTTCATCGGCGTATACTTGTTAACGTCAAACGTGGACGGAATATAGTGGAGTTCTTTCACTCCAAAGGCAAATCCACGGTTGCAGGCGGTAAATTGGAGTGACACAATTCCATGGAGACGCTCAAGATTCACGCGGAAGGATGATGAATTATGATAATTGATGGGTTGACAGGTGGTTAATTATTTAAACGCCAGCGACCGATACCGTGGGCGTGCGTCTCGCTGTTTACTCTCCAGCCTTTACCGGAAAGTGAGCCATCGACAGCCCATCAATCAAGCCAGGAAGAAGTTGCGGGTGATGCGGAGCGATTTTGGACACACTTCTGAAGGAGTTGGGAGAAAGGTATTCAGTGGAAAATGCTCTTCAACTGATAAGAGGCAGTATCATGCCACACGCAGTTGGACAGCTTGAGATTAGCATTGGAAAGTGGATCGGTTTGTGATTGATCTTCCATGTAGAAGGTTAAAGTGCTCAATTCATGAGATTTGATGTAGTTTTTTGACTAATATTAGCATTCAAAAATGCTGATCGACTCATTTGAATTTCAGATTCATATTCAGTTGGGATTTGGGTCAGTGAAAGGGTTGATCGCCTACCTTTTGGGCCTTGCACATGGCCGAGATGGGCTGCACGTCGTGCGAGTGATGGCGATTCTCCGTGAGACACTGCTGACAGGTGGGGCTCTTGCAGGTGATGCAGTAGAGGCTGAGCCCCTCCGTGTGCTCTCCGCACACAGACTCCCTCACCGTGGAGGCGCCGCGGGGCCGCGTGAGGCTGTGCTTGGCCAGAGGGCCCCTGGCGGGGTGACAGAGCTCGCGGCAGGTGTCACAGTAGCGAATCTCGCACTGCTCACACACCACAGACGCCACTCGTGGCTCAGATTCGCACATTTGGCACCTGAGCGCCTCGCGCTCGCAGAACCTGTCCACGATGGACTCCATGGCGCGATAGGGTGGAAGATTGCGGGCTCCGCCCTCGTCGAAGAAGACAATCTTGCGGCAGTGAGGGCACGCGAGGGAGAACACGGCTCCGCCGGAGGGCGGGAAGAGCAGCCCCTGCAGATTGGGGGTGCCGGCGTAGGAGCCGGGCCGCGAGGTGCAGCACACCACCCCGGAGTCGGCCTCACTCAGAATGCTGACCTTGTCCGCCTGGTCCTGGTCGGAGGACACGCTCTCGGTGGCGCTGGAGCTGCCCGAGCTGGCCGACGACGTGGACGAGGCGGAGGAGGAGGAGTGGTGCTGGGCAGGAGCCGGATGCACCTGGGCCGTCACGATGGTGGTGGTGGTGCTGGGAGACTGCAGCTCTAGGGCGCAGCCTAGGCATAGGGCATGGTAGCAGGGCAGCAGCACGGGACTCGCGAAGAGTTGCTTGCACACGGGACAGCGGAGCTCCTCCTCCATGGTAGGGCCCAGGGAGAGTCCTGCAATCGCACTCTTGAGTCTGTGGGAGTCTTGACCAAATTATCCGCTCAACACTTCACTCACACCACTCGGAATCACACCTCTCGGCGCTCATGCCCACTTTCACGGGATCGCCGAGGAGCCACTTTAATCCACAATTTCCTGCTCTCTCTCTCTCTATGTGTTCTTCTGCCCTCGGCACATGCAAGCGATCCACGGCAAAATACTCCGACAACGAGTGCAGCTGCAAAGCGAACCGAGCACCACGACAGACCGAAACACACTGAACTCGCAGGCCGCGATTCCCTACACTCAATGCCTTCCCATCTGCGCACTTCGCGCTCCGCCACTCGCCGCGAGAGCCCGCCACAGATCCCCTCCTATTTCTTCAGCCGCCAAAACAGCAATATTTTACAATGTTTTCTCATCTCGTCATTTCTGTTCCTTCTAAATAAATTATCTCGCTGTCGTGCAGCTTCCGTGACTTTCATCCCCATTTGGCGCGCAGCAAAAAAGCACCAGCGGGAGCCGATCTCTCTCTCTCTTTTGGGGGTGATGAATAAAACCAATCAATCAACTCACAGGAAGCTAATAAAAGGAGGGAGGAAAGTTTTTTCCTCTTTCGCACAAACTTTTCATATTAGACCTTTTCTACTGCTGAAGACAATTTGAAACAATTTCGGCACCACTTTGGGGACACATTAGTGAAATTGGCGACAAGCAGAGGCGGAAAAGTTTATCGGAAAATGAGTGTTTATTGGCCAAAATGGTCACAAGAGATTAGGAATTGCTTCAACACGCTCAACTCCTATAAAATGTCACGGGAAAGCTCGAGGAAAGCCAAAATATGCTTAAATTTACTTTTTACGGCATTTCTCAATAAGAGGCAATGATTTGTGTCTAAAACTATATATTTGCAGATTTTTACATTGTGTATTTGTCTTTAAGTAAAAAAAAAAACACTTGACCGGAGATTGACATTAAGAATGCTACATAACTTTGCATGCAATATAATAAATAAACAATGCAAGTTCGAACGGAATGTTGAGAACTTTTCTCATTTACCTAAAAACAATATTTGCTGCTCTTACAGAAACAGCTTATGAAAGATTCTCCAACTCCTGATGCTCTATAAAATAAATCTTGTAGTTTCTCTTTGTCTTCACCAACACCACCAGAGTGCAAAGGATTATTGAAATTCCCAAACCGAGAAGAATTTTCCAGCAAAAATGACGCCCCAAATGAACGACGAAGAGGTGATTGTGATAGGATCTCCTCGCACTCTCTCTCATGGAGCCTTGCTGGCGAATTTTCAGCAATGGCAGGAACGTCCGTGCGTCAGGCTGGCGATTGAATGGCAGCATAACGAGGAATTCCAGCTCATAAATCGCACTAATGATCATGCTAAAAGTTGGCTCCACCGCAATTGAGACGCCAGGCGGGGAGATGAACAGTGGAATCTCCGAACTGGCGCAGGAGACGTTCAGGAAGTTTGGCCCGGAATCATCATGTATGGCTGTAAATCTATCAGCGGCAATGCCATGGAGACTCTCGGGAATGCCGGTGGCGAGGAGTGTGATTGCTCTGCAGATGCCTGTCGCTCTGACGACGATGGCTGAGCGATTGTGGTCAGAGGTGACAATTTCCCTGTCGAAAATGTCGATGTCGGACGCCAAACTCACCAGACTGAGGCCAAAAGGGTCAGAAGTCACGTCTCTGGTTTTCTCCTCTCGCCGACCGCCGAACAGGGCTTCCTGCAGTGCGCAAGGGAGCCAAGAGCAAGGCCTCGAGGTGTCACGCCAGCCGCTGGGCAACTTTGGGAAGAACAGCAAAAAATGCGCAGTGATAAGCATCAGAAATCTGCGAAGAAGCTGTGAATAAATCTCACCGAACGCCTGAAATTCAGCGTCGAGATGCTATCGATGCTGAGATTGGCACAGTTGGCGGTGCAGTAGAACTTCTTCCGCAGATGCCCCTGGAATATGGGCCGAATCACATAATCGCGCGCATATTCATCATTTGCGCTCTCCTGCCGGAAAGTGATTGGCCCAGTTTCGGCGAAGATGGGCTTCTGCAGACTCTCGTTGGAGTTCACCCAATTGAATAGTGAAATATTCATCTCAATCTCCAGCGGCAATTCCCATTTCAATCGCCACAGGAAGATCTTTTATTGCCCGGAAAAGTGGGGAGAGAAGGAAATCAATTTTGAAGTATGCACTTGATGAGCGGCCAAATATGAACTTACATTTGGCACGAGCGTGGCCCAGAAATGCTGCCAAAGGAGTCCCAGCATTGCCATACAGAGGCCCAGCAGGAGCACCAGCCTCGCCTTCCTGGCCAATTTCACCCCATTCACCACTGTCATGCCGACTTGGGGCCACTTTCCAGCCAATTGGCAATTCAATGCGCGCCTTTGCTGGAGCAACACACCAGACTGCAGTGACTTAATTCAGTGTAAAAATGCTAAGAGCACTCAATTTTCTCACACGAGCGTGCTCAACCTGTTTAATATTGAACAATTATAAGGTTAAACTCGAGCGTCTTCTCTCGATTAGTGACGCATCGCCCAACAGATTGCATTACAATACAACAATTGACTCAATCAACATAAATGCTTCTGAGGTTTCTTATTAAAATATCGTCATTAAAGAGGCGTGATTTCTGTTTACATCTGAAAATTCTCTGTGTGTTTACGCAACACAACGAGCGAAAAGACGTTCAGCAGCTTTTTCAGGTGAACAGAGCTTGTTTGTATGCGAGTTGTTGCATGGTCAAGTTATAAGTAATATTTAGCGATTAATGTATGGAAAATGCGAACAGTGGCAAACATTTACAGATGTTTGTGGTCACAAAGTATCAAAAAAGACACTTAAAATGTTAAGTTTTGTCAATAAGGCGCAAAGATGTCAGCAAAAAGTGCTCAAATACTTGTAAAAAGAAATTTCAGAAGAGAGAAATTATTCCATCATGTGAGTGAAATTGAATAAGACTTACAATAAAGTAATATTTCAATTTAAGCGTCGATCAAGTGTGGCAAGATTGAAACATTGTCGGTCACGAAATCTTATCGTTCGTGCGGCGTTACGATTCAAACTCTCCGATAAGAATTTCAATGCTGCGAAACAATGTAATCGATTGAGATTTCCCTCCTTTTCTATGCGGCGGATAAAAATAGAAGTTATGTACACGATTTGCCGGAGGAGTGTATCTCTTTTCTTATATTGTATCACAATTGAGGCCTGTTTTCATCTCGGCCTTTTTTCCGCTGGCTCTCAATGGGTTGAAGAGATTCACTGGGTGAGATGGCAGAATGAGAATCTGAGACGTGAAACTATAAAGTTTGCTAAAACGTGAAGATTTCATCACATTGTGCAGCCAAAGTGGGGAGATTAAAGTGTGAAGGGGGAGACAAACTCCGTGTAATCCGCAAAGTGCCAGCTTAGCAGCTCATTTTCCCTCCATTTCTTGCCACTTCGTCCATATATATACATAATTCCCTCTAATTAGGGACAAATCTAATTTTACATTCTCGATTTAACTGGGCAAAATTGCGCGACTTGACAGCCAAAGAACTTTTCCCGAACGAGGAAGTGAATACGAAAGGCGGAAAATTTCCATCCAATTCTCCACTCCAATCATGGTGATTTGACACAATTTTTCCATTTTCATCTCCTCTCTCTCTCTCTTTCAATATCACTCAATTTCTTGTATATCCCGAGGGGAAGAGCAGAGCTCTGCATATATGGGACTTGTTGCTAACAGTCACATTTCCTGCAGAGCCAAAGTCGCCCCGCAGGGCAAAAAGTGAGTCCTGCCGAGGAGAGGCAAAAGGTATCAAAATCATCAAACGGAAAATGCTACAAATCGCCCCAGGATTCACCATTGGGAGACGGATATGAAAAATCGGCTTAATAGAATTCTCTCTCTCTCCTTTCTCGATGCACTCATGCTTCAATTCGACGCCCGTATTTGCAAATTAAGTCCTCCGCATGGCCCAGAAGAATGAATCAGAATAATGAATATTTGCCGAACAAACTGTCTTACTTTATTAACTTCTTTGGCGACCCTTCAATATTTTCAGATCTGCAGAGAGTGGAATGATATTTTTTTTTCCTCGGGCTTCTGCCACATTTTAAAGCAAACTTGCGCACAATATTCTCAGATTTATTGACTCAAGTTAATGATCTCTAGGCCCTAGATTTACTGCATAGTTATTGCCATTCTTATTCACCAACGCACACTTTCAACTGACGACTATTTTGCGCAAAATTCACTCTGCAGATGACAAAGGAGCTCCTTTAGAAGCTCCACGCACATTCTGCCTTGCGACAATAAATAAATTGCACTTGACGTTGCTCGTTGTGGGAGTGGGACAAATTTGTTTATAATTACAGGGCGAAAAGGGGGGAAAATCGTGAAAAGACGGCGGTCTTTGAAGTCATCTTTCACTTTCAGTGAATTACTTCCACGCGAAGTGAGCGGGGCGAGTCATGTGCAAATAATCTGGCGAATCGATCGGCTTAAGGATTACGGTGGAAGCTGACCTGCTGGGCGTCTAATTTTTCACGGTTAAATATTCAAAAAGGTATTAAACGAGTGGCAAATGACTGTGTATCTTGGCGATTACCTTTTGCCCTCCGTGTCAGCTGTGAAATATGTGAATCAACATTGAGGCGATGCCCATGAATAAATATGCGATTTAATGTGGATTACCGCGCCACGAGACGAGACGGTAAATTTCAATTAGCGATCCTGATGCTAGAGTGTGTAGACACTTCCAAATACCAACTCCGTAAATAATTAAATCAACCGCGAGTTGACCATTGCCGAACATCAATCGCAAATATTTAATTGGCTTAATCTCCGCCGGAGTGCTCGTGTGAATTATGCCCCATCTCTCGAGGACAAGCGAGTGGGAGACGTCGAAAAAGGAGCGAACGACTGCAGGTTCACTCAGACCACTCAAATCAATCCTCTCGCGCACATTGGCAATTAATGTGATTTACTATCCATTATGCAAACAATATAAAATCCATTAAATTGGCGCTTGTGAGCTAATGTATATGCTTTTATACTCCACTCCTCCTCCGCCACGCTCCGCGCCTGATCGCTGGACAACTTCCAAAGATACTGCATCTCTGCACAATTCTATTTGCATGCCAATTCTCAAGTATCGCACTCGAAGACTGAAGAAGTTGCGAGAATATGACGAATATTGGGGTGATTCACTATTCATTATCATTTAGTGGCTTTCTTCATCTGCAAACTCGCCATTGTCTTGCCCTCAACATAGACTGCAGATCAAAATGGAAAAACACTTGTGAAAACATTTTATTGCAGTGATAAAAATGCACACAATGTAAAGAAAGCTAAACAGTAGTAATGAAACAACTCAAGATCTGGTCCTTCGAACCGGATCTACATAATCTCGTGTATTTGGGGTAAAATGTACAAAAACGCCATGATAACCTACTTTTGAATTGTATGGGAAGATATCATAATTGCAAGACTGTGAAAGGCAATGAGTAAAAGACTAATCAATCAACGACGGTTTTGGCAAAGTGGTAAGTAATAAATCCCTCATGATGCTTTCTCACTTTCCCAAGGACTTTCACGACTTTCCCAAGACTGTGTCTCTGTGTCGCAGAAAACGTTAATTAATGGTTTGTACTCCTTTCCTCTGCTCACACCCATCACGCGCTAAATCAACTCAACTGTGTGGCAATTAAAACAGCCTAATTAGCAGTTCGCCTGCATATTCCAGCCAGAAATTCAACCCTAAACACCACACCGGCAGGAATGCCTAATAAGCCCGGAGTCACCTTGATCCTCACCGACAGAATGCCCCAGGACGCAGGCACGGAAGGCGGAATATTTGAGGCAAGACGATGAGGAGTGGCTTCTTGCAGTGAGAGAATATATTAAATTCTACTCTCTCTGTATCAAAATTGCCGCAGCAAGTGCGTGGGTGTGGTGGAATATACTTAAAATGTTATAATGAAAATACCTCAGCAACAAGCTTTCTTTGTGCTCTGGCAGTGCTATTTTATTAAGTTGCGCTTTACTGGCGAAAAGTTCCACTTTTCACTCCGCTCGCTGGAAATTTATCTCAATTTATGATGAGAAATAGAATTTTCCAGCGACGAGCAAAAACGGCTGCCATGGAAAAAAGTACAAGTCGTAGACAATAAATCACTGCAACATATGCACTCATATCTACTTCGCCATATAGGGAATATGTATGGGTAGTGATTTTATGAAACATTTTTGCAGATCCAGTGGCAAAGCGAGGAAACACTTCATGAAAAGTTCATTTATGACATTGGAATTTCCGTGATAAATTCTGTGGCTTTATCAATCACTGGATGGCTGAGAACATTTTTTTCCATTGAGACTCTGCAATCCGGAAACTTATGAAGAGCTTCGCGAGAGTGTTTTTAATTATAGTGTATATTTTATGCGAAAACATATTTAGTATATGGTCGTGTGGCATGGCAAAGTGATATCAGTGCGAAAATAATATCCATGTTTTTACATTTCGCAGTAATGGCGCAATATACATTTCATACACATTTTAATTAAGGGTGGAACACATGGATCCCCAGCAAATAATTTGAATATGGTGAAAATTGTTGGGAAATTTGTCAGTTCATTCGACATTTTTGCCACCCAGCCAAGCTTCTGTGCAATTTATTTGCGAAAATAAAACCACACGCACCATTGAGAAAGCTTAAGAGCTTTCGCCTCAATTCGCCCAGGGGGTGGAAACTTTGGGCGCAGAAGAGCCGCAATCATTCGCAGTTATTAGAGCTTAATAATTTGGGGTAATAATGGGCGCAATAACTCCCACAGTACATTTTCGATGACTACACTTGAAGATTATTTTGGCAGAGTGGCTGGCAAATTTATCGATTTGCTGTGAAATTTTAATTTCAAACAGCAGCTGAATGGTGGCTTTATTTATTCATTTCGATGGGGGACTGTACATGCAAATGGCTTGTCTTGGGCGTAAAAGGCATCACAGCCACTCGTGCTTAGCATATAGATTGATTTTTAACCTTTTCAATCGCTCTTCTTTCTCAACACTGCCATGCTATTTGAGGACCCTGAAATTTCTCATAAGTATCCAATATTTATACTTTAACAATTCACTGAGAACCCACGCTTTTCTCACCACTTAGACTGCTGATATTCTTTTGAGGTTTATGGGGAGTTGCGAGAATGGGGAAACATACAAATTTGTTGGGAAAACATTTTGCTTGACAACGCCCAGAGAGACTGTGTGAAAAGCCACCCTCAGTGTCGCGCTGTAATTTTTATTTACTCTACTGCTTCACATGACACAAGAGGAGATTTTCCTTTTGAGCACTCACTCCCCTTGTTACGGGCGAAAACACCATGAAGTATCACATCATCATATTGATGTCGTACT